TGTGTGTGTGTGTGTGTGTGTGTATATATATATATATATATATATATATATATATATATATATACATACATACATACATACATACATACATACACCTACTTACATACATACACATACAGCCATGCACTGACTGTGTTGAGATGTTATCACTATAAAGATAGGGTTGAAAGGATGAGGCAAATACTTGGAGGAATTTTTATGGAATGGAACTGTTTTCAATAAACGGAATAATTCATCGTCAATGAAAATTATGTAAAAATAATCAGGGGATAATTCTTTGCCCGTTTCTATAACTAGATAAAATAGAATACTTATGCAAATTAAATTTCTGCCAATTAAATTAAGTTAGAGTCAGCCTTTCTTGGCACTGAATCTTGATTTTTAGAATACACTATACAAAGCCTTTTTGGAATATTTGCTTCTTTCATACAAATTGGTTCCAGTCATAAAGTCATTAGCTAACGTACCACTGTGCTGAATTCAGGTGCTTGCCACAGTAACCAGTCTTCATTTAGTGTGTACAGGGCCTTGCAAGTTATTACATCCACAGGACCCTTGATAATCCTTTGATTTAAAGTTGTTACAAGTAAATAGAATGGTTCCCCAACTGTTTCCTACGAAACAAAATGAAACACAGTTTGTATACTGCTTACTTATACTTTTGCATTTCTTTGCATTTGTTCAATGAATATAGTGTGAAAAAAAGTGGGAGGGGAAACACTAAACATGCTCCACTTGTTCTAGTTGAAATCTGTTTTGAATAATACACATTTTTACTACATGCAAAACCATGAAACCAAGCGATTTCTTTGTATCTATATTTGGCATATGTGTGCTGAATAGTGCAACAAATGTACATTGAATTAAATTAACATCTGGTTGTCACAAATTATGATCTACCCATCGGTTCCAGATATTTTCCCCATGTCAAAGTGGCTTCTGCAGGAATGTTTAAAGTAATAGATTCTCATTTACTTATGCCTCACCCCTCAATCTGAAGAGATGAGATGCTTACTTAGTACATTCAGAACATTAAGTTTATGAAATTTAATTCAGTTAAAATCAGAGACTTCCTGCAGGGGTTGTGGTAGTAGTCAACGTGTCATAATAGAGGCATGACTGGGTGATCGACACCCTGACCCTTTTTCCATCTGTGTGATGTGTGCAATGCACATTAAAAAGGGGAATGACTTTGATTGCCCAGCCACACCAACTATTTTGACACTGCTGATTCTGCCCACTGCAGACACCACTGACTGAAATGAATATATGAGCTCTTGTTGGGTGCTCTGAGTGCATTCAGGTTTTTAAGCTCTGAACAGGTTGCTACAGTAAGCTATTCACAACGTTTGTTTATTTTTAATTTGTACTGATGGCAGCATACTGTGACCTGATTAGGACATACTTTACATAGCAATAAAGCTAAAGAGTTGTGTCAAGGAAATGATGTATAACCTTGAAAATAATGTTTCAAGATAGCAACCAGGGACACTTTCATCTCACATACATAGTAACTCATCTTCCAAAGCAACTTCCAGATGCTCTCTGACCTGTTGTTTATTTGGTTGCTTATTATTGGCATTTCTATATCATTTTACTCCAAAGTGACTTTTGACAGTGTACAAAAGAAATAAAGATTAAAAAAAATCGAAACAATATATATTACAATAGTGCTAACTAGCACAGGCAGATCATAAGAGAAAAACATAACATCACCAAAATACTCTCTTCTACGTTTTTATCTTTTGTCAGAAATACAATAGGGAGGAGGCAGGTCTTCTGTGGGGGGACAAGTAAGAATGAGAAGGCCCAGCTCTGAGGCCCCATAGATGGAATTACTTAGCATGGCCTCTCTCCCAGATCTTAAGAGGATGGACAGATTCATTTCAGAGCAACAGATATGCAAGGCCTGAGCAATATAGGACTAATTTAATTTAATCTCTGTTAAATAATCCAGAGGAAAGAGCATAGGCCAGTGCCAAATCACAAGGGAGAAACCATTCTTATTTTGTGAAATAAAACATTCTGCCCTACTCTGATAAACTTGACAAAGTGCCCTGTTCATTCTGATAACTCTTTCTTCAGAAGTAAATTCAGGTTCTTGCCGAATTTTCTCCCTCTCTTCCTTCATTATTAAGCCTGAAAAACTGCTTTCTTCATTCAATCCTAGCAACATTCAATCTTCTCTCCTCCCTGGTATTTATTGAAACAAATATATAGTCACACACACATACTGTATATATACATATACATATACTGTACATATAAATATATAGTATAGTCATTAGTACTAATTACAACAGACTGTTCATATTGCTCTTGTGGTTTTCCAGTCTGTGGTTTGTCACTACTGCTAGGAGACCAAGTGTCCTGCAACATGAGCAGGAAAATCTGCATGCAGATAAATCAGTCTCGTGTTCACTGATGTTATATAGCAAAAACATATAATATGTAATACTTGCCCGAAGAAAACCAGAAAGGCAAACTGACATCCAGTTTGTAAGCAGCTTTTCTACTACTGATTCTGTACGCCTTAGCATCAGCTTAGGTTGTATATTGCTCGATTGTTCCATCAAATCTCTTGTCAAAACTTCTAGAATATTAGTTAAGTAGACTAGGTTGGTCTGTAGTGCAATTGTCAAGAAAGATGCAAACAAGCATCTGTTTAAAAAGAGAAGAATAGATTAACAGTAACTCTAAATGTTAGGGATTTGAATCGTTAGCTTACAATAATACTACTAGCTTGATCTAACATCCACATCTTTCCAGCTGCCATACAAAAGCATGACATGATTTCTGGAACTAGTAAAATATGTGGGATCTATTTAACAGAAAGGTAGAGTGATGCATCTAAGAGCAAACAATTTATTAGCAAGGCCACCAATCAAGACTATAAATATAAACAAAGTCTGTACTGTTCAAAGAATTAAGAACCTGAATGTTATGGATGTAAACTCTATTAGCCATTTCAGAGGTGAAGAAAACAACAGGAGCACTAAAATTAATGCCTACTTCAGTAAGCACCTGTGTACTGTTCAGACAATAAATATCAAATGGTGGAAGAGAGAAATGAAACTGGTTATTCTTAAGTCATATAAGGACTCAAATTACACAATTTATGCAACAAAGAAAATTAACCTGCAGTAACTTTTTCACATCTGAGTTTAAAGAAAAAATGCCATTACTATAGATAATATTGTGATGAAAGGCACGAGCAGGGAGGATTCTGGAATGGAGCTTCAAGGTTACAGGGAAGGGAGAGAGACATTCCAAGGGAAGCACCTCCTCAGCCCCCAGCCGGAGTGTGTGAAAGTCAAGAGAAAGAGACTGGCCCCTCCCTAAGGGCATGATGGTTATAGTTGCTGTCGCTGGGGGCATTAGAGTTAGTCT